TTTTGAGGATTGGATCCATAAGGCAATTAGTTCTTAATGAAATCTAATTTTTGTTTACATTTTAGTAATCTTTAAACTATTCATGAACATAAATTAGGAGCTAATTTCATAAATGTAGTTAATACAATTTTATGCTTACATTTCCCCCCACCCCCACCCCTTATTTTCCATCTTCAGGCCGTGATTCTGAGAGGCCTTGCAGGAGGGACCTTCCAGCAACACTGTGAGGACAGTGGGTGGGGAGGGTGGGCTGCCTTCCTCTCAGAATTCAAGGTGCAGGTCCTGGGCTCATTTTACAACTTCCTATTCAAGCTTGTTGTCTGGTTTGTTATGTGGGTTTGCAGTATCAGTTCTCATTTCCATTAAGAACTGAGGTTAGTGAAGTTTAAAAAATTCAGTTTCTGGGACTTCCCTGATGGTCCAGTGGTGAAAACGCAATGCTCCCAATGCAGGGAGCCCAGGTTTGACCCTCGGTTGGGGAGTTAGATCCCACATGCTGCAGCTAAAGATCCCATGAGCCACAACTAAGACCCAGCTCAGCCAAATAAATAAAAATAATTAATTTTTTAAAATAAATGTAAAAATTCAGTTCCTCAGTAAGAGCTTGTAGATGGGTACTGATCCCAGCAACAGCCACGCCAAGCCACCTTGCAATGGCACCCCTCCTAACTCGGCCACATGCCAGTCCCTCCCCCCTTTTCCTTTTTCTTTCTTTTTTTTCCTGTTTTACTGACTTCTGCTTTTTATTACTGTGTTCCTTCTGTATTTTATGTAATTGGTTTTCATCTTCTGGTTTGTGTTTTGCCCTGAGCCTCTTTCCTCCTGGCTTCCTCTTTTCCGTGTTTTGTTTTATGATCCCACTTTACCTGTACTCTTGATTTATCAGCTATACCTCTGTTTCACTATCTTCCAGTGGTTGGCTTAGGGCCATGTGCAGTGTGTACCTTACCTTTACACGCTACCTTAAATAGATGGCAGCATCTCACATGGAGCATAAGATTATAAAATCACATCCTGTCACACAGTTCATGCTGTAAACCCCACGATATTTGTTTTTATTTTTACCAAAATCAGTTATGTTATAAAGAGGTTACACATGGCAAAATGTCTTCTGCTTTTACACATGTTTAACATCACTGCCACTTAACCATTCCTTGTTATCGGTCAGATCGTCTTTTTTCCCCCAAAGAGCTTCCTTCATCTTTTTTGCTAATTTAACTCTTCTTGTGATGAATTATTTTGACTTCAGGTTTTTCTGAAAAAGTCTCTTTTCCTTTAATTTTTGAAAGCTAATTTCATTAGCTGGCTAATGAATTCTAGGTTGAAGTCCTTTCTTTCTTTAAAGATGCCTCTCCCTGGCACTTCCCTGGTGGTCCAGTGGCTAAGACTCTGTGCTCCCAATGCAGGGGGCCTGGTTTTGATCCCTGGTCAGGGAACTAGATCCTGCATGCCACAGCTAAGAGTTCACATGTTGCAACTTTAAAAAAGATCCTGCATGATGCAACGAAGATTGAAGATTATGCATGCCACGTCTAAGACCAGGCTCAGCCAAATAAATACAAATAAAAATATTTTTTAAAAAAGATCCCTCTCCCTTGTCTGGTTTCCATGGCTTCTGCCAAGGAGTCTGCTGCCTTCCTTATGTCTCTCTGTAATGGGTGTTTTTCTCTGACTGCTTTTAAGATTTTTTCTTTAATATTAGTTTTCAGCACTTTGGTTATGATGTACAAACATAAGTTTTTTCTTTTTTTTTTAAGAGGTGGACTCTAATGAGGCTTTGTTGAAGTTCTGGGATCTGTGGTTTTATGGCCTGCATCAAATCTGTGAAAATTTTTGACCATTATTTCTTGAAGCATTCTCTCAGTCTCCCACTCTCTGTGTTCGTTCAGCCTGTGCCTGTTGAGTGCTGTGTACAGGCCCTGAGCTGGCATGGTGTCCACATGAAGGCGTGGCGGTCTGGCATGAAGGCAGGGCAGGCAGCACGGGAGAGGAGCTTGGCGTCCTGCTGCGGGTGCCTCTTTTATGGTTTGCCTTTGTCTGCCCTGTGGCCCAGGCCAGCATTCTTTTAAAAAGTGTTAATCCACACAAAGGACTTCCCTGGTAGCTCAGATGGTAAAGAATCTGCCTGCCAATGTAGGAGACCTGGGTTCAATCCCTGGGTCGGGGAGATCCCCTGGAGAAGGAAGTGGCAACCCATTCCAATATTCTTGCCTGGGAAACTCCACGGACAGAGGAGCCTGGCGGGCTACAGTTCATGGGGGTCACAAAGAGTCAGACACAACTGAGTGTCTGACTTTCACTTTTCACTTTCACAAGGCAAACAAAATAGCCTTTCATTCTTTGTAGACCAATACTCACATTGATTAAAGCCTCAAAGAACAGCCAGCCCCTGCAGCTCCAGCTTCATTTCATGTCCTCCTAGCCCTTCTCCATGTGAGACCCCACCTAGTGTAGCCTTCCTCAGAGGCAGAGTGGAAGGTGAGGTTTGGGAAGGGGGCTCAGGTGTTCACTGCGGAAATAGCATAAGTCAGCTCATGTCCCAGAAAGGCCATGTCCGCCTCCCCTTATGGCCTGACTAGAAGTGTGTCTCTCAGCGTGGGCTGGGCTGTGCTCGGCTGGCCCACCACCCCCAGCAGCTGTTCATGACACAGCAGTGTGGGGCCGGGGCCTGGGTGTTTATACAGAAGTTAAGCCTCTTCATCTTCATGTTTGGGAATACTTTTGAAACAGAGGGTTTCTAGCTCACAGCTTTGATCCACATGTTTCCTTTTTTCTTCAAAACCTTTTCTATTCAGCCATCAAACACAAGCCAGTGTCAACGATACCAGAAAACAGATGGAATAGACAGTTAAAAATATATGCCTTGGTCACATCAGTCCTGCTGCCTCGCACTGGGCAAGCTGCTCATTCAAGAGCTGTTCTGATGTGTAACTGTGTTTAGTATGTGCTTTTAGGGGAAATACATAAAGGTTCACAGAATTCAGCAATATGTAAAAAGAATACACGCCTATGGTCAAGTGTGTTTTATCCTAATCAGGAAATGGATGAAAGACATTTCTCTATCCTAATCAGGAAATGGATGAAAGACATTTCTCTGGAGGGTCAGGCAGATGAGAAATAAACCCCCGGAAGGAGGTTCAGCCTCATGAGCCACTGGGGATGCATGTTACAACCGCGAGTCACTGCACACATCTGTCGGAAAAGCTAGACCAAAACACATGACGAGGACACGGGGAAACTGGTCTCAGTGCTGTTGTGGGGATGGAAGTGGTTCAGCCGCTCAGGAAAACAGTTTCTTAAAACATGAAATGACTGTATGACCGCAGTCACACTCCTGGGTGTTCATCCCAGAGAAACGAAGACTTCTGTTCATACAAAAGCCCCTTCATGAGTGTTTGCAGCAGAATAATAGTAACAGCTTCAAACTGGAAACAGCCCAGGTGTCCTGTAGAGGGTTAAGCTGTGGAGTATTTTTCAGCCAAAAAAAAAAATAAAGGGGGGAACAAACCTCCAGGGAATCACCCAATTGCTAAAGGCTACACACAATGTGATTGCATTTTTGCAATGTTCTTGAAAGAATTATGGCATTGAAGTAGCAGGTTTGTGGCTGCGAGCTAGCAGTGGGGGGAACGGGCAGGGCGGGTGGGGTGGGTGTGGGGGGCTGGGGAGGTGGGAAGCAGCCATACAGGCACCGTGAGGGGCCCCTGTGGCCGTGGAAACGCCCAGTGTCCCTGAGCCCAGTGGAGGCCAAGTGTTGGTTTTTCAAGATGTTACCATTAGAGGAAACCAAGTAATAACACACATGGGATCTCTGTGTGTTATTTCTTACTACCACATGCGAATCTACCATTTCTCTCTCTCTCTCAAGAACAGATTAAAAAACCACAACAAACAAGGACCTACTGTATAGCACAGGGAACTCTACTCAGCGTTCTATAATAACCTGTATGGGAAAAGAATCTGAAAAAGAATGGATATGTGTATATGTATAACAGGATCACGAAACACAACCACAACAACGAAATTCAAGCAAAGTAGGCAAAAACCTTCTCAAAACTCTTTAGTAGCATAACTGCATTAATATAAATTAATCACCATGTGTAAGTGTTGTGTATATTAGAGCAAGTTTTAAGAAACTCAGATATCATGAGGTGACTTTTGCTCGTTTCTCAACAAGGAGACTTAGGCAGTGATTTAAGTCAGCCAGCCACTCTTGACCTTCCTGACTGTGTTAGCTGATGGTCGGGAAGGTGGGGAAGACAAAGCCTGGGGATCGGAGGCTAGTGTCATCTCCCGAGGCCAGCCAGCCTGTGAGAGCCTCACAGGACCCTCACCGAGGGGCAGGCTCTCTGCCACCCTCGGACACTCCAGCCACACTCCCCTGGCCAGAAAAGGGGAGAAAGGCCTCCTCCCGCTGCTGCGAGGGGCCCCTCCCTCAGAAACTGGCCCATTCTCTGCGTCTGAGCCTTGGGGCTGCTGGTGTCTGAGCATCAGCACCCCTGATATCTGCGGGAGGGGCCAGCCTCCCTCCAAGCCTGCCTCACTGACAGGAGGGCTGGACCCTTTACCTCTGAGCAGCCTTAGGGATGTTTAAATGCACTGCAAGCAGATACCCGAGCAGAGCGTGCAGGGGGGCTTCCCTAGGTGTTGTGTGCTGGGAGTCAGCCTGCGAAGCTGCGGAGAGGGGATGGTGTCTATGGCCAGGAGGAGGCAGGGCTGGCTTCCAGAACCAAGAGAAGAAGGAGGAGTGAGGAGTAGTCCGGCAGAGTACAGGAGAGACGGCAGCTAGCATGGATTCTTCCTGGGGCGGGGAGTGCCTGTCTGATGGCATCACTGTGGGGGCTGCTCTGGCAGCCTAGACAGAGGGAGGTGGCCGGGGGCAATGAGCTCTTAGGGCTGCAGCTCTTGTTTATTTAGAAGCTGAATGGAGAAAGTTATGGAAACACGGGGCTGCCCCCAAGGCTGCACGGCTTTAAGTCCTGTTTGTTATTGTTTCACAGATTATCGGTTGTCAAGTGACTCGGGAGCCCCCCAACTCCACCGAGCGGTACACACGGTGGATCAACCAGCTGGCGCCTGACCAGCTGCTCACCCAGGTGCGTCTGCCGTCTGGGGGCGGGAGGGAGTTTCCGTGCTCTCAGCCCCTGTGCCTGCTGCCTCCTGGGTGCCAAGCACAGTTCCGGTAGGCGCTGCCTGGAGGAGAGGGAACAGCGTTTCACAGAAGCCTGGCCTGGGAAGGACCCAGAGCCAGGAGGCAAGTGTGGAGGGCCTGGCTCAAGACTGGGGAGCAGGACCCATGCAGGCCGGTCACACGGGCTGAGGTGGATGGAGGCAGAGGGCAGGAGGTGGGGGCCTGGGCGGTGCTGAGCAGCTGCAGGGGTGGGGGCATCCAGAAAAGGCCTGAGTTTCTAGTGGGGCAGGGCCACCCCTGAGCAGGGCAGCTGGAGGGGTCCTGGGTCTGGGGAACGAGCTGAGATGTACTGTGCCGGAGGTGGACCTGGTCAGCAGGTAACAGAAGTCCACGGAGCTGGCAGTGGGTGTGGGCTCAAGTCAGACTAGAAACCACAGCAGGGCGGGGGGCTGGAGGAAGAGGTCAAGAAGGGTCTCAAGGTCTCAGCCTGGGGGGGGGGTCCCAAAGTCCGTGGGATGTCGAGGGGATCCTGCGAACTGACCGCATGTTGATGAGGTGTTAAGTGAGGACGAGAACCAAACATTCTCTCTTTGTCCAGCTTTGAAAACAAGCCACTGCCTTAGCATGTCAGCACCCACTTTAAGCTCTGTAGCATGTCACCCCGAAACAGAGACCTAGAGTAGCCCCGAGCTCTCCGGGATGGGCCCAGGCCTGTTCTGTTTGCCTCCTGGTCCGGCCCTGGCTGCCCCACCAACAGAAGACACTTCAGACTCCATCTTGCTGGACAAGCCCCTCCCAGGACCTAACCCCCCAGGGCGGGAGAAATGTGCTCCTTGGGGCAGGGGGCACATCAGAGAGGGAGGAGTGGAGAGCAGTCCCCCAAAGCTCAACCAGAAAGAAGCTCTAGGAGGTGTGGAAATGTTCTCCCCCCAGTGAGGTGCTGGGGTCTGTCCCACATTGTGATTCCTTGAGATCCTGCCATATAATGAAGTGCTTTTTTTCTAAACTCTGAGTTTTGAAAACTGAAATCTCAGTATAATGGAATGATTTATACTGATAATCAGCTTCTGAAAATTAGAGCCGCTTATGATTCTGGCATCAAGCGTCCTGTTCACTGAACTCAAAGTGATGCTGAAGAAACCCTGAGAGTTGAATGGTGCCTGGGACCACCACGTCCCTCTTGTGGGCTATCTCACATAGTTCTCTGGATGATCTGAGTTCTTTACCCTTTCCTCTTTAGTTTTGGGTTTGCCTGTTGCTTCTGTTACCAAAACTGCTTCACCAGCTTTTAGGTTCTGTGCCATTTGTGCTGGTCCACACACAAAAAAGTTCTTTTGCATTTGGATTTACTTTTCCAAATGAACTTTTTTGAGATGACTATTCCAGGAATGGCCCAATGGCCACAGGTGGTGCACTCAGAACAGGTGGTTATAATAGATGCACTAGTAACAGGGGAGGGTGGTGAGGGCCCTGGGAGGCTCGGTGGTTTTCCTGCTGCTCCTCCAGCCGTGAGTGCAGGAGGAGAGCCAGCGTGTGTCTCCCAGGAGCCTGCAGGGTCTCTGGTAGTGGTGGGAGCACTCGGGTGGATGTTGACAGTCACGCGGGACAGGGGCAGCTCTGGCCTGTCTGCACCGGGTGGCCCTGGTTCACCCACAGCCACACTGAGCGCCTGGTTGTTGCAGAGCTGCTGTGAGGCTGTCCTTCCCCTCTGAGGGGTGTGTGAGGTGGTGGAGCTCTGGTCCAAGGCAGCTTCAGGTCTCTGAGCAGGACAGAGTCTTCTGTCCTCCAGGTTGTGACCTGAACATCCAGAGTCAGGAAGCCAAGGGCTCTGGGCGCATACTCACATCACCTTGCATCTCAGCTGGCATTTGGATAGGAGTTTGCAAACCATCATTGGCGCGTGGAGAATAAGCACCGGGTCTGGGACTCCTGTCACTGTCCCAGTCCTTCCATCTGTAGAGCACGTCCAGCCCTCGGGTCACGGTTCTGGGATGTGCCCGCCCTTTTACAGATGCTTTCCCAGCACATGCACTGCCGGTTTCAGAACAAAGAATCACAGCCACTTCATTGGAGAGCTAGTAAGAGCTTTCATATCCTAACTGGGAAATTAAAATGTCCCATTGCATGTGAAAGTGCTGGCTGGCGGTCAGCCCCAGGGGCCCCTGCTTTAGCGCCCTCAGATGTGGAACTCTGCACCCGCAAGGGGTCTCTGGACACGCTCATCTCAGCCCTGAGTGTTCGAGGGTCAGCAAGTTGGTGGGGAGGTGGCCTCATGAGAGAAACTGCTGAGTCGGCTTCTGCCATGTGCTGGATTCTCTGGGAGAACGTGAGTCACACGGAAACTATGTGTCTGAATACTGAGGGTATAATTTACATGCAGCATACTCTCAGCCAGAATTACGAGTTCTGAGCCCAGGGCAGACTTAACTGTTAAGCATCATAGAAATAATTAAGGGAGGATCTTCCTTAGCAGTGTTTCTCTTTAGGAAGTTAGGGGAAATTAAAGTCTAAGGTTTCTCAGAGCGAAAGAAAATATCTCTATTTAAGCCATTTCTCAACTGTTAAGGTCGCAGGAATCACCAGCACTCTGTAGGATCATTGTTCATGGTCTAAACTGAGTCACGTTTGTGAGGTGGGGAGCAACATACTTTGGTTTGATTTTTTTAACTTTTTATTCTGTATTGAAGTATAGCTGATTCACAACATTGTGATAGTTCCAGGTAAACAGCAAAGGGGCTCAGTCATACTTATTGGTTTAAAATTTGTGTGTCTACTTGAATGTCTGATTAGGTACCAAGTACAGTATTAAATCAGAGTTCAATTCAGTCGCTCTGTCATGTCCGACTCTTTGCAACCCCGTGGACTGCAGCACGCCAGTCCATCACCAACTCCGGAGCTTGCTCAAACTCATGTCCATTGAGTCAGCGATGCCATCCAACCATCTCATCCTCTGTCGTCCCCTTCTCCTCCCGCCTTCCATCTTGCCCAGCATCAGGGTCTTTTCCAATGAGCTCCAGTAAATCAGAGTACCATAAAATTAATGTTCTGCTAATTCCAAATAAACTGAAAGATGGCATATAGCCTGGACCAGTGGCCTGGGACCTGTGTCAGCCTGTGCCACCTGTTTCAGGCAGTGCCCACTTTGCACCTTCAGTGAGAGGCTGTTCCCAACAGACCTGCACCTCCTGGGTGGGGCTGTGGTGGGGGGGAAGGGGAGGCAAGGCCAGACTGCATCCCTGCCTCAGAGGCTGCCCTTGGAGGGTCCTGGCAGCTCCAAGGAGAGGTTGGGGGTCAGGGCAGCTTGCATGGGTAGCTGTGACCAGCTCTGGCTGCCTGGAGTAGGTGCTCAGGTTCACAGCGGAAGGAAGACAGCAGGTGTGGGTGTGAGGTGTCTCCCTCATCCCAGCCCCACCTGGTCCTCATCCTCCATGCCTGCTCCCAGCTCCCCTTGCGCCTCTCTCAGGGATCCGTGCTTCCTTGCTGTCTTAGCCTGCTCACACTGCCACCACATATACAACAGACATCTGTTCCTCACAGTCTGGAGGCTGGACATTCGAGATCAAGGTACTGGCAGGTGGTTCCTCCTGAGGCCTCTCTCCTTGGTGTGTTGATGGTCATCTCCTCGAGTCCTCCTTCTATGGAGGGCCTCCTTCTATGTGCTTACTCACTCCCAATGACTCTCGGATCAGGGCCCCACCCTTATGACCTCATTTAACCTCAATTCCCTCTTCAAAAGCCTCATCTCTGACTACAGTATCAGGCTGGGGGGTTAGGGCTGTGGTGGACTTTGGGGGACACAGTTCAGTCCATAGCATTTGGACACCCTCCCTGGCTCCTCCACAGCCCCTGTGGTCCCCTTGTCCTGGGCCCACAGGACACAGTGGCATGTGGAACAGGGCTGCACCAAAGGGAATGGCCCCCTCCTGTAGAGCCTCTCCTCTCATTCATGGCCCTGTGTGTTCCACAGGGAGGGTGTCACCCAGCTACCATTTCCCTGCAGTATCTGAGCAGCCTGACCATAAATGAGAAAAACGTACAGCCCACCTGTCAGTGCTAATGTACAGACTCTCACTTTATCTAGCATCCAAGGACTCTAGACAAGCAAAATTTCTAGATGATTAAAGTTTACCTCTACCTCTGTAAGTACAACCTCTTTACCTAAACCAGTGCTCCCCAAACTTGTTTGATCATAAAATAGCTCAAAAACTTGAAAACAATGCAGATTCCTCATCTACTTCCATAGTTTCTGATTTAGTGGCCCTGGAAATGTGCATTTATAACACATGCCTGAATATTTTTGATGAAACTCTTTGAGAATATTATTCCTGCTTAGAAAAACTGCTTCCCTATAGATCATAGAGTCATTTTACAAAGTCTGCCCAATTTAAACTCTGTATTTTGAAATAATATCAGACTCACATAAAAGTTGCAGAAATAGAGTCCTGTGTGCCCTTCACCCAGATCCCCACCTGTAATGTCTTACACACATAGTGTGATGTTCAAACCAGAAGATGCACATTGGTACAACCCTGCTCGCAGGGAGTTCATGCATTCTTGGGGGGTGTAGAGTGTATGGCATTTCATCACACATCTGCATTAGCACAACCCCTGCCACAGTCAGGATATGGAACTACCCTCACCCCAGAGAAACTGACCCCGACAACAACCTATCTGTCTGCTTCACTGGAATCTTGTCATATGAGACAGTTGTATTAATGAAACTGTGGCTTTGTCATTCCACGTGATGCCTTTGAGATAACAGTTCGTTCCTCTTGTTGCTGGAACGTGCCAGTCGTTGTGGGGCTGTTGCTCAAAGGGCTGCCATGACCCTCATGGACAGGTTTCACTTCCTGAGATGAGCACCAGGGTAGGATTATGCGCCTGTGTTCAAACTGAAGTCCATCCGAGGCTGCCCAAGCAGCTGCACCATTCCCCGTCCCAGCACTTTGGTGTTGTCAGATTTTT